GAAGAAATTAAGAACTAAATCCAATCACAAGTCCTTTTGCACCGACTGAAGGTTGGTCCTATAACATCCAAAGTATTCCAGCCTCTACTATAAAAGAAACGAAGCTGAAACACTTTGGAGGGGTATCTGTAGGTGTCAAAAATTTCCTATGGGTTCCCGAACGCAGCTTGAGACAAAGAAAATACGATGAACATCATTATCCGAGTCAAAGAAGATTACTTGACGTCGACAAGCGTATGAAGCGAATCGACGAAACGTACGAGTCAACCGAACGATAAAATATGTATAACAGCAGAGCAAGACAAGTCCAGAGATGTCGAGAGGTGCAAAACGCCTTGGAATGACTCCCAAGTGCGGGTCACCCTAAGGTGACCCGCGCAAGTGCAGGTCACCCTAAGGTGACACGCACACGAGCGGGTCACCCTAAGGTGACCCGCACATGGCCGCGTTACCTTAAGGTGACGCGCAAGCCAGCGGGTCACCTTAAGGTGACCCGCACAGGGCCGTGTCACCTTAAGGTGACGCGCAAGCCAGCAGGTTACATTGACGTGACTCACACCTGAAACCTCTAAAGCACATTTTCAACTCTTTTATTAAGATTTGTTTGGTCCAGAAGCCTCCTAAATACTTGGATATCATCATTAAACGTGGTTAGGCCATTTCCAACTAAAGATAATGCCAAATCCTTTGTCCTTATCCAAATACACTACTTTTGAAGCCTATAAATACAAACCTAGGGCCCATATTCACAGCATCTAAAAATTGGAGGCGATGTGCTATCAAATTAGAGAGTGAACTACGAATTTCAGAGGAGTGCTAGCAGATCTTGGCAAACTCCGGTGTAAAGAGAGAGCTATTCAAGGATCTAAGGCCCGTTTCATCATTCCTTGAGATCAGACTTTGTTTTAATCTCGAGAAGAGTCGTAATCTCGTTTGGTCGAGATTATCACTTCTACGATTGTTTCCTTTGTGAAGCAAAAACATTAAGTTTTCGTTCTGTCAACCGGATCTAATCCGCAACGGTCCACGGACTAACGCGTCACCGACACAGGAAAAGATCACATGCAAACATAGACTAATAAATAGGATTTGTGTGTTGTTTGACAAAGTTATAATCTTTTATTTTTCATTGTGTAAGGAGATCTTATAAAAAGATCACTTTTTTTTTGAACTTACTGTAACTACTGAAGTTGTAATGAGTTTAGCAATAAAAAAGGTAACTTTCGAACCAAACATTATCATGTTAGGTCCAATTTGGTTCATATTAAGTCTAATTAATTTTTTTAAGTATAGTTTAAATTATGTTAAGTCTAATTTAATTTATTTTAGGTCTAAAAATAAGTTGAATTAAAGTTAATATGAATCATGTTAAGTCTAATTTAATATGTTTTAAGTCTAATTTTATGTTAAGTCCAATTTGATTCATATTAAGTCCAGTTTGATTCATGTTAAGTCTAATTTAATTCCTTTTAAGTCTAATTTAAATCATATTATGTCTAATTCAACTTATTTTACGTCTAAAAATAATTTGAATTAGACTTAACATGAATCATGTTAAGTCTATTTCAACTTATTTTAAGTCTAATTTCATGTTAAGTCCAATTTTGCTTCATGTTAAGTCCAATTTAATTCATCATGTTAAATCTAATTTAATTCTTTTTAAGTCTAATTTTAATCCAGTTTAGTGTTAAGTCCAGTTTAGTTCGTTTTAAGTCCAGTTTGGTTCATGTTAAGTCCAGTTTGATTCGTGTTAAATCCAGTTTGGTTCGTGTTAAATCCAGTTTGGTTCGTGTTAAGTCCGTTTTAAATTATTTGAAGTCTAATTTAAATCGTTTTAAGTCTAATTTAAATATTGTTAAGTCTAATTTAAATTATTTTAAGTCTAATTGAAATTGGACTTAACATGAAATTAGACTGAAAAGAAAATGAAATAGACTTAACATGGATTATATGTTAAGTCCAATTCGGTTCATGTTAAGTCCAATTTTAATCATGTTAAGTCCAAATTCGGTTCATGTTAAATCCAATTCTATTCAAATTAAGTCCAATTTAAATCATGTTAAGTCCAATTCAACTTATTTTAAGTCTAATTTCATGTTAAATTCATATTAGTTCATGTTATGTCTAATTTAATTTATTTTAAGTCTAATTTAAATCATATTATGTCTAATTCAATTTGTTTCAAGTCTAAAAACAAGTTGAATTAGACTTAACATGAATCAAGTTAAGTCTAATTCAATTTGTTTTAAGTCTAATTTCATATTAAGTTCAATTTAATTCATGTTAAGTCCAATTTGGTTCATTTTAAGTGTAATTCGGTTCATCTTAAGTCTAATTTAATTCCTTTTAAGTCTAAATTATATCATGTTATGTCTAATTCAACTTATTTTAAGTCTAAAAATAAGTTAAATTAGACTTAACATGAATCATATTAAGTCTATTTCAACTTATTTTAAGTCTTATTTCATGTTGAGTCAAATTTGATTCATGTTAAGTCTAATTTCAATCATGTTAAATTCATTTTAAGTCTAATTTAAATCATGTTAAGTCTAATTTAACTTTTTTAAGTCTAATTTCAAGTTCAGTTCAATTTAAATAGTCTTAAAACAAGTTGAATTAAATATAACATGATTTAAATTAGACTTAACATGAATTAAATTAGACTTAACATGAAATTAGATGTAAAACAAGTTGAATTAGACTTAAAATGAATTAAATTAGACTTGAAATAAGCTGCATTAGACATAACATGATTTAAATTAGACTTAAAATAATTTAAATTAGACTTAACATAGATTAATTAGACTTAAAATAAGTTGAATTAGACTTAACATGAATTGAATTATACTTGAAACAAGTTGAATTAGACATAACATGATTTAAATTAGAATTAAAAGGAATTAAATAACACTTAACATGAATTAAATTGGACTTAACATGAAATTAGACTTAAAACAAGTGGAATAGACTTAACATGAATTAAATCATACTAGAAACAAGTTGAATTAGACATAACATGATTTAAATTAGACTTAAAAGGAATTAAATAACACTTAACATGAATTAAATTGGACTTAACATGAAATTAGACTTAAAACAAGTGGAATGGACTTAACATGAATTAAATCATACTTGAAACAAGTTGAATTAGACATAACATGATTTAAATTAGACTTAAAAGGAATTAAATTAGACTTAACATGAATTAAATTAAACTTAATATGAAATTTAACTTACATGTTAAGTCTAATTTAACTTGATTTTAGACTTAACATGAAAGAATAGTGGAGATAAGGACATTTTGGGGCTTTTTTATTTTTTATTCTCTCTCTATGTTTAGTTGGCAGGAGATAATTGCTAAAGAAAAGTTGTAGAATATAGATATCTAATTTAAAGGCTAAAACACATGGGAAAAATCAAAGAGGCTGCAACACATTTTTTGCTTTTGGAGCATTGACACAATTTTCCCTAAAATCTTACCTTTATCATTCATATTAACTGCAATCAAGCATTTAACGAGTAGCTAGAAAAATTACTATATTCCTATTTCATTAAAAAAACGAGGGGAAAAAAAGCATCAACAAAGATGACTTGAGATTTTATTTAGGAAAATGAACTAACAGGAAACAAACAGTGAAGTTTATATTTTTATCGTATTAGTTATTAGTTTCTTTAACGGATAAGTAGCAACTTATCCAGGTCATGGTCGACTTTTTTCTCTCCGTCAGAGTTTACCCTACTTAATTACTGGAATGCAGTAATATCGGATTCTACAACTAATGTATATCAGATTCGGCTATACTACAGTAAGATATCATTCGAAGGTAGCATAAAATATGTTACCTTAACACACCTCATTCTTCATATCTTAAATTTCAAATGAGTTAATTAAATATAAAATGATATACACAATATAATAAGATCCAAAAAGATCCCGACTGAGACAGGGGGCTTGAAAATTGGAGGGGAGAAATTCACATAGAACACGGGAAGTGCCTGAATAGAGCTCAGTGCGAGAAGATTTGAGCTTTTCATGTTTGAACACGGCCCGTCAACTTCTATGCTCCGCATAATTGCTTGTAGTCATCTAGAGATGCAGCTGGGAGACAAAAGATTCATAACATTTATACATTGAGCAACATAATTCCGAAGATAATCAGGGAATAATGAGTATGTATAGATTTCTGGCACTTGCACAATAGTTTCCCGTGCTGCGGAACGGCTGTCGTAACAGCTCTGAATCAATTGAGGGGGGGGGGGGGGGGTGGGGGGTGTGGGTGGGGGGGGGGCTGACTATGCGCAACGATCAGAAGCTGAGGGGGGAAATAAGCATATGGAAAATATTTGGGTGGGGGGGGGGGGGGGCTGCTAGTGCAAACATGAAGCTAGAGGGAGGGGGGAATAAGCCAGGAACTGATGGCCAGGGGTTCATGTGCATGTAACGCTATACATTATTAAGCTTAGAACCGACAGGAATGCCCTTACAAATAATAAGCATTGGGTGTTTTCAGTTAGGAGCAGGAATCAACCTTTTCCCTACTTGCAACATGTATCCTTGCTCCCCACCTCCAAACTTCTACTGCTGCCATATTGCTTGTCGCATCTAGAATCAGCTGCGGACAAAAGATTCATACATTTTCACATTGAGCAACATAATTAACCGAAAACTAATCAGAATATTGAGTATTGTTAGTTGCACTTGCACATAGTCCCCCTGCTGCGGCTGTAGTACCACAGCTCTGAACTCATTAGGGGGGGGGGGGGGTGGGGGGGTGGGGGGGGGGCTGCTATGCGCAACCGATAAGCTAGAGGGGGGAAATAAGCTATGGAAAATTTGGGTGGGGGGGGGGGGGGGGCTGCTATGTGCAACCATGAAGCTAGAGGGGGGAAATAAGCTCAGAACTATGCAGGGGTTCATGTGCAAGTAACCCATACATTATTAAGTGTAGCCAAACCGACAGCAATCCCTCTACAAATAATAAGATGGGTTGTTTTTCAAGTATGGAAGCAGGAATGCACCTTTCCTTACTGCCATCATAAGTCTTCTCCCAATTTGCCCAATTTAAGATCACCATAGCAAGTATCTTTGCAAGCCGTAACTAGTCCCCCTTCTACTGTAGGAGCTCTCAGGGGTGTACCAGGCTCTGTTGTTGTAGCCTCTAATTCCACCTGCATGCAAAGATGGCAGTCTAATGATGACTTACAAAGTTCACAATGTGGTTCCAAAGAATTTCATCAAATTCAAAATTGCAGGCTTCTCCATTTACTTAGCGATTTAGCTTACCCAGAACCAACGAGCTCCAAATATAGACACTCAACCTTCCTTTCAAAACTAGGAATAAGGGACAAGGATAGCACCTATACCTTAGAATAAATAATAAATATACAGGTTCTAGCAGCAACTTTTCTCCTACAAATTCTAAATTGTTCGGATATGGTAGCTTATCTGCGACGACAGAAATTATTAGCCCTTTCTCTTCATCCAAAACAGTGTTTCAAAGAGCTGGCACCATAGAAACTTAATTACACGTGCAGAAAATGGTACCTAAATTTTTTAAAGAAACATGCAAAAAGGCATATTTAAGCCAAGCAACATCAAGCAGATGATGGGAAAAAAATCAATGTGCTAAGTATAAACAGTTTGTTCATCTTTGTGCATGCGTAAATTGTGCAGAATCCTAACGATTAGCTTTACGTGAGGATGGATGGAGTGTAATATACAAAAAGGAATTAAATTGTATATAAGGGGAATTGCAAGTGTAAGTTGTCCAGAATTCTAATGCTTAGCTTTATGTGAGGATGGATGGATGGATGGGGTGTAATGTGCAAAAAGAAATTAAATGGTACAGGTTTTTATAAGGGAAATTGCAAATTTGTATGAGATAACCTGATGTCAACTTGACAGACCACTGAGGTGATGCAAGATTTCAGGCAAAAGAGGCACACGTTTAAACTCAGGTTTCCATCTTGCAAACCATGCATTCATGCACCAAATAAGCCAAAGCATGTAAACAACATTGAAGCAGAAAAATGATAGAAAATTTACCAAGTACTTGTCATTTTCTCCAGACATATGCCAAAAGCCCCAAGGAGAAATTTCCCAGCTCACAGTACCAGTCCAGGGCACAAACTCATAGAAAGATCCCTCATAATGGACTCCAATCTGGATCAAATAAATGGAGTTGAAAATATAACCATTGCTCCAAAGTGCCATAACATGAAATACCCAAGATAATGTAAATTCAAAAGAACCGCACATAAGTAAAGTCAATACAATACTATAACATGACACAAAATGACAAACCTAAACGCTCTGAAAAATATGTATTACAAATTGAAAACAAATTGTTCAAAGTGAATAGGCGAGAATACTCACAAGAGATTTGTGCGACGTTACTAACTGCAAAAGTTGTAGAAACAGCTAACACTTTTTCTAGTCTAGTACAGAGACAAGTGTATAGTTGAAGGCAAACATGCGGTTGAAGAATTTCCAGAAAAGTAACCTAGATGTCCGGTCCCTATTCATATGCTAATGTGATTTTATACTGATAATAACTCGTTAAAAGTGTAGCATGATGATTGCTGGCATCCATGAAAAGAAGAAGGTTAGCGAAGAAAGGAATTTTCGTGTAGTTGATTTAAATATTATGTATATCATGAATGTTTCCCATCAGCCCTTGTTCCTGAGATCTGCCAAATTCTCAAATCATGTTCCTTTCTCTAGCCTTCAGCTAAAAAAAATCCTATGAATCAGGCCTAGCTTTGAAACAATCAGGTTTGACCAGATTGAATTACAGCAAAAATAGGTCAAAGGAAACTGGATTAGACCACATAACAATGATGATAAAACCAAGATATTAAAGACCACAATGTTTACCCAAGAATCAACTCGAACTGATCCTAAATGCTATAACGAAAGCTAGAAGGTAGGATCTGAAAGATAGAAACTGGATCAGCATTGGACCATGTTGTGTTTCCATAATTAAATCCTTAGTTCTCTTCAGTTCCAAAAAAATAATCCATTAGTGTGGATGCATGAAAAAAATTAGAGTCAGCAGAATATATACCAAAGCAGGACTTTCAAAGTTCTCATTCAAACCAGGTAGCTTCCTCAAGCCTCCCGCTGCAGTTAGAGAAACTTCCCCTGATACACCGTCAAAAACATTACAGTGAACCTGCAATGAGGAAAACAAATTCACAGAGATACTGTAAGGATTGCAATATAAATATTGCAAATATGGTCATGGTGAGAGTTGACATGGGGGACTTGTTTAAATAGCATATAAGTCATAACTAGCAAAATAATTCTAAGCAGATATAACAGTCAGGCAACCTAAAGTTCAGATAAAGTCCTAACTGGTGCGCTAAAAAAGTAAATCAGAGATTAGAGTTACATATTATATAGATTGACATATCACAAGAAAAGAAAAAGAAAATCTTACCCAAAACCATTTTCTTGGAAAACCTCCACCCCAGTTCTTTTCCGAATAAGATGGAGCATTTTCAAATTCAAAGAGTTGCCCATCGTACTCTATCCAACCTGTATTAACACATTCACTGTCCCATAAAGCACATCTAAGAAATGATAAGAATCACATAATGTAGCTGAAATATCATATGGTTATGAAAACTAAAATGACAACCCCACTGCTAAATTTGTAGAAATTTTTATTCATCTTCTCACATTCATAGATGCAGCAATTGCAGGAAGTAGACCTGTTCATTTTACTTCCAAGGAGGATAGAGAACAACATATACAAAGTTTAACAAGCTGTGAAATATAACCCATGAATACAAATATTATAACGACAATGTGTACATGTGTGTGCCGTGCACAGGACACAAATTAGCAACCTAGCTACAGAGATTTAGAGAATTCAATCATGTAGTTTTGATCCCTGCAGTTCTCTATACAGCTCATAGCTGCTTCATATTTCATCTAAAATCCACTCCATCTGGCTCAAGCCTCTTCCCTAGACACGCACCTTGACCCCACCCTTTCCATCCAGAATGATCATCGACAACTGTTTCTACTGGACAAAGACTTCGTTATACCTGTTGACAAGCCATATGCCATGCATATTTGCCAATGAGGTTCGAAAACTGGAAAAGCTGCAAGCCAGCCTGCAGTTGACTTTTGCTTAGAGTTCACATCTCCCCAGCCATATACTGGACATGTGCTATATTCCCACTGTGCACTCTGTACAGTCTGCAGATGCTTTGACCTATCATTCAGTGATACCAGTATAAGTCAAATACATGGAACTTTGATGGAAGTCATTGACATGCTCATGAGTCATATGCCAATATGAATTAATCTTACTTTGAATAATAAAACAATGCAGATAACATGGAGCATAATTGGAAATGAACATTTAAAGGAATGCAGCCAGATCAACATATGTGAAACTAGTTTTGAAGATAGGAAAGCCTTTCTCGTTCTTATGCAGTTTCGAAAAGCTCAGTGAAATATTTTGTTTATGTCAGCAAAGAAGCACATCTATTTATAGGGATAAAAGTTCAGCAATATTCAGAAAAGCTATTCAGACCAGAGTACTTATTGCCCATTCAAAGAAGAAAAAGAATGAATTTAAACACAAGGCTCTGCAATTTCCTCCTTTTCCCTTTTCTCTTCTTTCAATAAAAATTTGATAACGATTAGGAAAAAAGTGATGAGCAAAATCAGTGGGTCTACAATCATATTCCACAAAGTTTCAAATGTTTAGAAGCTTCAATAAATTGCATCATATTAAATTATAAGGTAGAGTCAGAAAATAACTAATATGCATTGAAGATATCCAGAAAGAAAAGGATGAGTCCCTACAAATCTAAATAACCATATTACTTCAAAAGCAAACAAGTTGCATCCACAATCGCAAATTAAATACAAATGAATATCTTCAACTAGCAATACTAAGCCATACCTTCCATCATCCCGTATAGAACCTTGATGCCAAATAGGGGTGACCTGGAAACCTTCCAAAACACGTTTCCTAAATTCCTACATACGATAAATTAAAAATGCTTAAGGTGGCATCACCAAAGAAAAGTGGAATCTATCATGCACACATGCATGCACACACAATTTGAACATAGAGAGCTTAAGTTTACCTTGTGCTTCCTCGGTTAATTGCTTTAGTATTATCTCGTAATAAACTTGCCACTTAACTTCTAATGCACATTTCTGGAAAAGTACATTAAACATTTACCTTTAGGTCGTACTTCACATAGGAAGTGATTAAGTTTACAGTAATTACTTTAGCTTTTATGTTTGCATTACACACAGATGTTGGCGCAAATGTGTTAAAAGTATTATTTACTTCTCCCTCAAGCTTGTCAATAAATAAGTTGTGCACTCAAGGAAGTGACAGCTGTAAGAAAACTTGTTCAACCATTTTAAATGTAGCAGGTAATACGTACCTTTGAACTAACAGATCATGTTACAAGCAAATTTAACAGGCTGATTGTTTGATCAAGTACAACTTGAACCAAATTGTCATCACAAAGTTGATGTGCATTTAGGAAAAGATAATTTGAATAAAAAAGAAAATCAAAGAAATAAATTTACCTGCGGTGGGACCTCCTTGTCAGGTGGTGATGCATCTTTCCCCGGTATGAAGGTGTTCCCTAGCATCAATTCATGCCTACCTATGCAATATAAAATAATTAGCTGAAGGTCATAAAATTGTTACAACACATTTCTGCAATGTGTATGCACACACGCACACAAAAACACTACAAGAACACACATGTAAATAGATGTGTATACTAGCATGTATGTTTGGATAATAAAACTTACTTCCCCAAAAGTTTTTAGACTCTGGAACATATTGACAGATATATTTATCATCAGCACCAAGAATCTGAGCCCCAACTCCAGTAAATCGAGGTCCATGGATTGCCCTATCCAGCGTACTCATTCCATTGGGAAATGCAGGATTCTCCACCGAGTACATGAAACAGAAGGTTTGTCTACTTTCAGGGATTGAAACCTTGAAGTACCAACCCTCAAAGAACAATCTTGCTGTCCCGTCAAAGTGGTACCTTACAGATATAACATTCAGCAATTTGAAAATTAATAAAATAAAAAAATCAAATATCATCCGTCGAATATGCATTGTTGACTTAATACATAATAAAATCAAAGGTAAATTTCACAACACCACCTCGAAGGCATGAACTTTGGGGCCCTTTTCACAAAACTACAATGTCTGACGGCAGTTAGGATAAATTGCAACGCACATGATAATTTTGGTAAATTTTATCACTATACATTTAGTATGTCTTCTCTATTAGCGCATCCTAGTCTCCAATTTCAAGGGTAGTTTAGACTTTGTATCCTAGCTGTTAATGGTAAACAACAATTTCCATTAGTCCATGATATTTTTCTATAGTTTGAAAGTTCACGGTACTTTGTCCTAAGAAAATTGAGTAAAATAACAGACAACCTTTCATCATACCGTCAGTATCAATTACTAAAAGGGGGTTAAGTGCAATTTTTCCCTTCTCATAAATTAACAATCCACGGAAGAACTAAAAGGTTATGGTAGTTTTATGCGAAGATCAGTCAAAATCCATGATAATGTTTGTGAAATCCAACCGAAAATCAATCAAACGCTTCGCGTGCTTCTCAGAATTACCCGCTGTGAGGAGTTCTGAGCGCTCTATCAGTAGGAGTAGGCTTATACACAGCTTCACAGTAGCCGGAGCCGCCGCTTCTCCGCCGCGACAGCCGAAACCCGCTGCGATACCCTCGACGGCGGCGAAACCCTAGCTTGTAACGGATAGGATCGGCCGGGAGGCGGAGAAGGGATAGGGATGAGGCGGCGGCGGCGCGGCGGCGGCGGAAATCCATGAGGGAGAGTGAGATTGAGTGGAGTTAGGGCATCGGAAATGGAATCGGACATTTATTTTATTTTTATTAACGGGTGGCTGAGGTTGGAGCGCAACGTGGGGATTGTTTGTTTTCTCCGGGGATGTTTTCTATGCGCAACACTACGGGGGGATGTTTGGTTGTTGTTGGTAAAATTGTGTATTTGGGGCTGTTTGGTTAGAATTTTTTTCTCTTGAAAGCCTGTCAAAGTGTCACTTTTTGGCAGGCTTTCAGCCCAAATCACCTCTAAAAAAGAAGATTTTGGCTGAAAGCCTGTCAAAAAGTAACATTTTTGACACTTTTGACAGGCTTTCAAGAGAAACTTTCCCTTAAAAACAGGGAACCAAACACTTGGAAAGTTGTTGTCCACCTCATCAATTTCACTTGTATATTTTTCTTTATTTGTTTTTGATTCCATTGGAATCATAAATTGCTTGTTTGGTTTGTAAATGTAACTTTAATTGTTTGTTTGGAAAGCGTAAAAAATGGTCCCTACTCAAATGATCATATTGATTGGAATTATTTTTTATTATTATTTTCTGACTTCAATGTTAGCTTTCTCCTAAAATCATGTCTTTTTTTTATGAAATCATTTTACAAGCCACATCAGCATATGAAATCACTTTACACTATTTCCACAACTACAAACAAACAATTGAAAGTGATGAAAACTGACATTGGGACCCACTTTCCATCTTTTTACATGGTAAAAACATACAACCAAACAGCCCCTACAAAGAAACGCTTCTCAAACTTTTTGCTGTAAAAGAGGGAATATGAAGAATTTTTCCTTTTTTTAACCCCCTTTTTTTCTCTTTATTATACTTTTCTGAATAATTTGATTTGAAAATAATATTTCTATCTGTAATCATTATCGATTATTTTCTTAACTAGTTTATTTATGTTAGTGTTTTAGTCGATATTAGTCACTCAATCGTATCTTAGCTCCCCAAAATCTTGATATTTTGAACTTACTTTACCAAATCTTGATATTTAACTATTTTGAAATTCGTCCCTCAAATATTACCGCAGCTTGTTGTGGTGTTTTCAATCGCCAAAGTGTAACTCTTTTGCCAGCAACGGACACGTGTACTTCTACATACAATGCCCCAATCAAATTGGCGGCCAAGACCAGCAATGATCCTGACGTAGCTGACTCGTCCAGTCGACATCTTCTCGTATCGACTCGAAAGGCGGTATTTCTCGGTCTTCTTGTCGAAGACGACTCGCCACGAGCCTACTCGACCAGTTAATCGACGCCTCGCGAGGTCGGCTCGAAAGACGTTACTTTTCGGCCAAGCTAAAGGACTTCAACCTCGAGCCTCTCCCACGGACAACGTGTGAGCATCGCTTTTAATGCTTGGCAGGCGCCATCATGCCTCTAGCCCCGATAGTCTTCATGACTCATCAGACCACGCCGGTACCGTCATGCCCCCGATCACTTCTCATTTAATGTTGAGGTGATCTCTCCTCCACTAGCCGAGTGACACCTGTAAAGTAGGTGCTGACGCAGCCGCCAGCTCATACCTATTTACCGCCATCCTGTGCTTGGCCGAAGTGACGGTTCTACCCTTTCAAGCACCAGTATAAATAGATGTACTATTCTAACCTAGAGAGATTCTTTTCTCAAGATTCTTTTCTGGATCTCTGATCTGATCTTTTAAGCAATATCTGCAAATTATACTGCACTATAAGAACTCACACAGTTCTTCATTTCTCCACTCAAGTTTATCAACTGACTTGATCGTCGGAGGAACCACGGGGGAACCAAGCCCCGTCATCTCACGACTTGCTACTTGTGTAGGCGGCTGAAGCTACTCAACTCAGAACCGGATATTCGAAGAAGTGAGCGGCCCCTCATCAACCTCATCCATCACACATATTGACTGTTTGATTACTTAACATCAACAGTTTGGTGTCCACCGTGGGGCTTTCTTTCTTTTTCGAAAAAGCATGTCTAGTTCTGAGCATAGGGTTGATCAGTCTCACCTGAAGGACCACATCAGAGCTACGTTACTCAAGCTCAGCTTGATAAAACGGCTCAGCAGATTGCTCAATCTCTTCAACAGCAACTCGCTACATTCACCAGCGAGCTCCTCATCCGGCTTCCACAGCCGCATCAAACTACTTCAGCTGTCTCCCCCGCCTTCTGGAGACTAGCAATCAGAGACTCATCCTCCTTCTAGAGCACAACTAGTGGTCTCGCCTCGGACTCCTCATCTTGATGTCAAGCAACCGACTGGATTACTTAATGTATGAGATGAGATGATAATCAACCTGATCATCAGGATGAAAATAGGGATATATGATCCCGTTCATGTCAAGATAAAGATTATCAAACTCAACAGAGTTCGGATTTAGCTTAGAGGAATCAACACAATCATGTTCCTTTACATCATTAACAACAATTTTGGGGTATTTACCAACTAGCCATCTATTGAATGAATGAACTCCCATCGCTATCAAAGCTTCCTCAAGATAAAATGAGCTCTCAGTACCTTTTGAACTAACGAGGCAAGTATCTAACTTGGGTTTAGAATGGAAACCACATTGAGGCCCGAACCTTCACGCAAAAAGTCATTGGCCAAAGGTATTACTGGCTCATTATATTGGATGAGTCAAGACGACTCGTCTCTCGATGCAAGAAATGTCAATTTTTCTCGTCCATCCCGCGAGCGACAGCCACCGAACTAACTTCCATCCTGAGCCCTATACCATTTGCTCAATGGGGATTGGATTTGCTAGGTCCTCTCCTCATAGCTCCAGGGCAGAGGAAGTTTCTTATTGTGGTGATCGACTACTTCACCAAATGGATTGAAACTCAACCCCTGGCTAAAATTGGTGAAATTAACGTCGTAAATTTTGTATGGAAGTCCATCATCTGCCGTTTTGGTGTGCCCCTCTTCTTCATAACAGACAATGGTACTCAATTCGACAGCTGAGGCTTCCGAAGCTTTTGTGAGGAGTACAATATTCACCTCAAGTTTTCCTCAGTCCCCCATCCTAAATCCAATGGACTTGCAGAAGCTGCCAATAAGTGCATCCTCCAAGCATTAAAGAAGAAGGTGGATGCGGCAATAGGGAATTGGGTTGAAGAGTTGTCTGGTATCCTCTGGTCATACCGTACAACTCATAATAACTCAACCGGGGAGACTCCGTTCAAGCTAGCTTACATCACAAAGGCGATTACTCTAGTCGAAGTAGGCATGCCAACCATCCAACTGCAACACTTCGATGAGGATTTAAACTCAGAAGGGCTTCAAGTCAGACTCGACCTCCTGGATGAAACTCGAGAGAAAGCATTTTGGACCCAGGTAGTTAATCAGCAACGAATAGCCCGCTACTACAACAACAAGATTCGACCCAAGAGATTCAACGCTGGTGACCTCGTTCTCCACAAAGCTACTTTCGATAAAGACACTCAGAGAGGCAAGTTAGCTCCTAACTGGGAAGGCTCGTACATAGTCCTTAAGGAATTGCGAGTATGCACCTATCGACTAAGGGCCTCAGACAGAAAGATCCTACAACATCCCTGGAATGTTGAGCACTTGAAAAAATACTTTTAATAATTTTGTATAAAGTTTCATTCATTATAAATGATGTCTTTCTGAAGCCGACTCTTGTTTCACACTCTCTTAGTGCCAAATCTATGTAGGAATCCTAAGCCATTGGCGTCTTTTCAGGGTAAACCCAAGGCACACTTGCCATATGGCCAGCTCTCACATTTGCCACCCGACCACTACGGCTGAGCCGAAAAGACTTAGGCGTCCTCATTAAGATCTAGGCACCCAACCTTAGAGTTGTCATTTGTCGAAAAAGACCTAAGCGTCCTCATTAAGACCTAGGCACCCAACCTTCGGATTATCATTTTACTAAAAAGGTCTTCCATACTAAGTCCTAGGCACCTAACCTCAGGGTTGTCAATTTGCCAAAAAGATCCAGGCATCCACACTAAGTCCTGGGCACCCAAACTCAAGGTTGTTATTTTGCCAAAAAGACCTTGGCATCCTCATTAAGTCCAACACACATACCCTAAGACCTTAGTGTCATTATGAGTAAACCCAAGGTATGGAGCTCAACCGTTCGGTCATTGTAATGACTGTAAATTTTTAATACTGGCTTAAATAGTTTTTCTGGTGTTTAAACGTTAAATATTATTTTTCTAAAATAATATTTGTATTTTCCCCAATCCCTCTAGAATTTTCTATGATTTAAAATACGATTTTATATTTATTCTAATAATTTTGCTAATTATAAATTTAATTATTTCGGTAAAACTTTTTGAATTAATAGTTAATTATTCATTATTGCTTTTGTCATTATTATTTTGACCATAAATTTTCAATATTTATTTGAATAAATTTTTAGTATTTTAATTATTTTTAAAGGGGTATTTTCCCTGTATTTTCCCTTTCACCGGTATTTCACTCTGTTTCTCTCTCTCTTCATCAACCTCTCTCTCCCTCACCTCACGACAACTCACCCTACTCCTCCGTGATTTTCTCCCCAAATCCCTCCTCGTGATTCCCCGACTCCTCAAAAGTCTCCCTCTCTCTTTCTCACTCAATCTCTCTCTTCAATTATTTTCCTCAGCTCTCTCTCTCTCATTCTCAGCTCACTCACACACTCTCTCTCTTGTTGGCCTTCTTGTTTTGATGATGTTTAACAAACAATTTACTTCTAATGTTGTTTGTCTAGTATTTGTGTTTTCGTATTTATTCTAGGCAAACAACGAGTTGGAGGATGGATGGAATAGAGCTTCAACGATCATATCCAAAGGAGGTTGGCGGAATGTCGGTGAAGCCTTGCAAATTCAAAGTTAAAGATCAAGTTCAAGCTTCATCCGCGAGATTACCAAGTCAAGCATATTGAAGACCAATCAAGCTTGGGTAAATTAGTTTAGGACATACATGTGTTGAGTTTTTATGATTATATATATGAAATTATATATTTCATATTTTCTATTGTGTTTTTGAAAACAT